GGGTGAGGGGCAGATGGGGTCTGCAGGGGGAGAAAATGGTGCCCGCGGTGGTGGTCAGACCTTTCCCTTTGCCCCTCGCCCGCCCGTGCCCCCATTCCCCTGCTGCACACGTGGGCACATGTCCCCATCCCGGCCTCGTTAAGCCGTTAATCCCTCGGCAGTAACGAGCGCGAGGCCGCAGGAGGAGCCGTGGGAAGGGCCTGGAGCCCAGAGACCCCCCCAACCTCCCTCAAATTCCCTCCCACTGCCCTCCCCCACCCCCTCCAAGCCCCCCAAGATTCCCAACATCCCCCCCCACAACCCCATCAGCACCCTCAAAATACCACAATCCCCTTGAGCGCCCTTAAAATTGTCCCCCAAGTCACCGGACCCCTCCTGGGATGTCGGAGTCTGAAGAGAATGGAGAGGGTGAGTGTAGGGGGTGTCCTGAAGGGGTCTTAAGGGGATGTGGGGTTCAAGAAGGGGAGCTTAAAGGGGATATATGGGGGTTTGGGGGAGAGCTCAAGGGGAATGTGGGGGGTGGGGGGTCCCAGTGGTGTTATGGAAGTTCTGGGGGGAGTCCCAGTGGGTCATAGAGGTGGTGAGGAGAGTCCCAAAGGGGATGTGGGGGGTCTGGGGGCATCTGAGGGGCTATGGGACGTCTTTAGGAAGATTTGGGAATGGGGGGTTTCCTCAAAGGTGTGTGGGGGGGTCTCAGTATATTGGGGGGGGGGTCATTGCTCACCCCACTGACAAACCCTCCCCCACAGGCCCCCCCAAGGGGCTGTCACCTTTGGCCGAAGCCATGGGGCAGCCCCTGGGGTGGTCAGGAACAGAAAGCAACGGGGGGGTAACAGACGGTGGGACCCCCCCGGGGCAACGGCACCGCCGTCCCCCCCACACCAAACACAAGGGACAGGGAACAGGGGGGGTCCATCGCTCCCCCCGCGCCCTGTTCTGCCTCCGCCTCAACAACCCCATCCGCAGAGCAGCCATCAGCATCGTGGAGTGGAAGTAAGTTCTGTTTTGGGGGGCGTGCAGGTAAGATGGGGTCACTTTTGGGGAGGGGGGTGAGTTTGGGAGTGACATGAGGACAATTTGGGGGCTTATAGGGAGGTGGGGGGATGGCTATTCGGGAGATTGGAGGGCACAGCACTTCTTGGGGTGGGGGGGGACAGGGGTTGGGGATGGCTATGGGGAAAACTAGGGGCCTGAACCCCCCCACCACTCATTGCCCCCCCCTTTGACCTTGCAGGCCCTTCGACATCCTCATCCTCGCCACCATCTTTGCCAACTGTGTGGCGCTGGGGGTCTACATCCCCTTCCCTGAGGATGACTCCAACGCTGCCAACCACAACCTG